GTTTTAGATTCTTTTTTGCATTCTTTGGTGTGAATCCAAGTCTATGAAACTAAGTCAGAGTTAGATGTATGCACATGATCCTTAGAAAATCCTAGTTATGCTTTCCTTTCCTTGACCAACTTCTCTAAATCAAACTACTATTAGTGGAACAGCCGCTAATAAACTGGTCTTGCATTAATCTTCTAGTTCATCTAGCATTCTTGTTTGGAAATTTTGTTCCTCGCCTACGCCAATTAGCACTGGAAGAGCCAAGATACTAGAACTACATCACTTGGGAGTTCAGTGAAGTGCCGAGGGTGGATTCATCTACGTCCCGCTTTACTTAGTCATCGTACTTATTATCTAGGACGTCAGAATAACAGGAAAGATTCTAGATTCGATGGACCTGTTTTCACTTACATACCCTATTCTTTTCCCTTACACAACAATCGTATCTCATGTAGGAAGCTGCAAATCCTTTTGAGTGCTGTGATATAGTCACAACCACAACCCACAAGAGTCTGAGAGGGCCAAGATCGGGTATGATCTTCTACAGGAAGGGCCCCAAGCCTCCCAGGAAGGGACAGCCAGAGGGTGCAGTCTATGACTTCGAGGACAAGATCAACTTCGCAGTTTTCCCGTCCCTTCAAGGCGGGCCCCATAACCACCAGATCGGTGCTCTTGCTGTGGCATTGAAACAGGCTCTTTCCCCCGGCTTTAAGGCCTATGCCAAGCAAGTGAAGGCCAATGCTGTTACTGTTGGAAACTATCTGATGAGCAAGGGGTACAAGATTGTCACTGGTGGAACTGAGAACCACCTCGTTCTCTGGGATCTCCGCCCTCTTGGATTGACTGGTAATAGAGGAAGCCTGTTTTCATTATGGATTTTATTCTGCGGTTGGCGGGTTATAGTATTGGTTTGTGTTGATGAAATTATGTTTTTTTTTTTTTGTAGGTAACAAGGTTGAGAAGCTCTGTGATCTGTGCAACATTACCGTGAACAAGAATGCTGTTTTTGGTGATAGCAGTGCTCTATCTCCTGGTGGTGTTCGTATCGGTAAGATCTACCTTCTCCAAATCAGAACCTTTTATTGCTTTAGAAAAGGTCTTTTACCTTTCTTATACAAAGTGTGTAACCATTAATCAGCATGACATTTGAAGAACTGGTTCAGTTGAGTTAGCATAGAAATGTCTGCCAGGTATAGAAAGTGCAGGTGCACATTTGTTTCCACATTTGAAAATTTCATATATTGTTTTATGATCAGTGTGCATTCAGGTATTAACGTCATTTAATATGCCTGGATTTAAATTTATATGTGGTCAACTCTGATAATATTAAGTGAATTTTATCATGGTCAGATATTTTGGTGTTCAGCGTCTCGGGTCTAGATTAAATCTTTAGATGATCTTTCACTACTCTGATTCTCTGCTCGTAAATCTAACTACATGCAGCTGTTGATTAGCTAATTCTTCAATTTCATATTGCAGGCACACCTGCCATGACCTCAAGAGGTTTGGTTGAGAAGGACTTTGAGCAAATTGCAGAGTTCCTCCACCAGGCAGTTACCATCACCTTGAAGATCCAGGAGAAGCACGGGAAGCTCTTAAAGGACTTCAACAAGGGTTTGGTGAACAACAAAGAAATTGAGGACCTCAAGGCAGCTGTTGAGAAATTTGCAGGATCATTTGATATGCCTGGCTTTCAAATGTCTGCCATGAAGTACAAGGATTAGGCTATATCTACTAAAGTTTCAGAGTATTTCTTGTCAGTTTGATTATTCTATTTTACTCTTAAGTTTGTACGTTTCCATCTTCATTTGTTTTCTCCACTTTTTTAGATGATCTTGTTTTTGTTCAAATCTAATATATCCTTCTCAACTCCTATGTCACCAATGTAGTAATGCAAGTGCGTAATCATCTCAGAAATAAACTTCAATGCTGTGAGCTGATGAAAGATGTGTCATTGTTTTGTTCATCTGTTTGATTGAATAATGCTGATGTCTATCGTGTATATTTACTTTGAATGTCATGTAGCTTACTGTTTTCTTCTTTCGGTTGTGAACTTGTGATGGCCAGTTCAGACAGATCCTGATTTCTGGATGTTTTGATTTTTAGGTAAAGCTTGATTAACAAGAACAACATAGAAATTTAGATTGTTGAATATTGTTTGTTAATACTACACCATGCTGCATTCTGTTCGCTATTATGTGTATCCTATGGTCCGCATCTTCCATGAAAATTTTCAATGAAAAGGAGGACATTTTTATGCTATACTTTCCTTGGGTACTGAGTATTCTTCCAAGTCTCTTTCTCCCAAAACTTTTGATAGTACATCAACAGGCTAAATTACCAGATTAGTATTCTAACTCTAATACTATTTTCCATTAAGGTATTTATTTTTGCTCCGGCATCAATATAGTATTTTATCTTGTGCTCCGATGACAATATGGCCCTTTACCAGCTAATTGTTTTTTTTTTTCTTTTGTTCTTTTTTTGGGAAAAAAATTTCAACTGTTATGACGTATCAAAATTATTAAATCTACACTCTCTTCTCCTTCAATCTCCCTCAATTAAAATTTCTTCCACCCTTTAACCCATAAGATCATGCTTCACTCTTTCTTTCTCTCTCATCAATGGAGCCTCTCTTTCTCCTTCAAACTCTCCAAATTTAAACCTAAACCCTAATTGAAATTGGTAGACTTAGATGAATGTTGTTAGGGTTGGATTAGGGTTTGAGTTTGAATTGGGAGAGGTTGAAGGAGAAAGAGGGGTTCGAAGGAGGATTTTATTGGGTAAATGGGAGGAAGAAATTTGAATTGGGGAGGTTGAAGGAGAAAGAGAGTGTAAATTTAATAATTTTGATTGGTTAGGAGAATGGAATAGTGAGAAAAAAGGGTTTCATTGTCATCGGAGCGCAACTTAAAATACTATATTGGTGCCAGAACAGAAATAAATACCTTCTTGGAAAATAGAAAATAGGGCCAAGTTAGAATGTTAATTGAAATCAATGTATGTTGTGCTTGTGCAAATTTATGCAGTTAAAGGGCACAAACATTGCACAAGCCCTACTTTTGAAATATGAGAAGAGGATTGAAAATAACAGAGGTAACACTTAGATTTTTGCATACCGACAACAATAATTAATTGTACTCAATAACAAGCAGGATGTCAATGATATAACAAATAACATAACTATGCAACCTCTCAAAAATCTCAAGTAGAACCAGGACATACCAAAAACCAATCATCAAATACTGCAATTTCTCTGCTTCATGTTTGAAGAAGCACATCTCTAATGGAGATAAATACCAGCCTACCACAAAAAGGAAAATAAAGCACCAAAATGCAAAATATTTGACAATGGTGAGCCTGCAATCAGACCAAAAGGAAGAGGGAGAATATAAAAGTATTCGATTACTCAATGATAGACTGAATAACCCCGGCTCCGACAGTCTTGCCACCCTCCCTGATAGCAAACCTCATCCCCTGCTCGCACGCCACCGGCATTATAAGCTCAACCACCATCTTCACACGATCTCCGGGCATCACCATCTTCGCCTCCTCGTCCTTATCATTCATAATCGCCCCAACCTTACCCGTAACATCCGTAGTCCTCATATAGAACTGAGGTCTGTACCCAACGAAGAATGGCGAGTGGCGACCCCCCTCCTCCTTCTTTAGCACATAAACAATCGCAGAGAACTTGGTGTGGGGAGTGATGGTAGCCGGCTTAGCCAGCACCATCCCTCTCTGAATATCCGC